CTTCTGTAGGCTTTGCTTCCACCATATATTTCTCGTTTCTCATTCAGCAACCACCTTCAGCACCATATTTGCTCTGAAAATGCCATAATTTGGCCCTGTATTTTCTCTAAATTGACAAATAACTTCCTCACATTCATGCACTTCCATACTTCACTTTCAAAATTAGAAAACTAATGAAAAGTTTGATTACATAAATTAGGTCGTAACCCTTAGTAACATTTGTAAATTCATAACTGTTTTAGTCTTTAAATTGTTAAATTGTTTTCTTTGGTATCATGGATTTTCGATGGGTACTTAGTCACTTTCTTGATAAATCATAGTATAAATAATAAACCACCTTTTATTCTTGTTATAATCATATAATTGAATTCTTTCTCTTTTCCCTTCATTCCTTATGAAATTTGGGGTTGAAATTTACTTAGTTCTGAAGACATTGAGGCTTGCTTGGATGCAATGGTAAATCACTGTCAATTGTTACTTGCATAACTTAAGTTTTGAAAATCCCCTACATGCTTCCAACTTGGCTATAAGAAGAGTCTAAAAGATGTTTACTTTCAACAGCTTATTTAACTTAAAAAACTATGATTTTAATGGTTTGGTAAGCAAGTCAATTGAATATTTCTTTCTAATATTAGTTTATTTCTGCAACCTATATATCCAGTTCACATTAACAATAGCTCATTGAGAATGGAAACAAACGGTTCTGACATCTTCCATAGGATGTCAAGGAATTTAGCTTTAAGTTTGAATGCTGTCAGAATAAAGGGCAAGGTGTAGAAGTTAATTTAAAAAGTGCTCATTATGAAATTGTGTTGAAAGCAGCAACTAGAATAATGGATGGCTAAGGACTTTAGCTTCGACTTTGCCAGATTTCAAGACTGGGGCGATTTTCTCTTCCCCTTTTTGATTCTAACCATCATTCTGTGTCTCCACTTTGAATATCCCAGTATTTTGTGTTATTATCAATTGATTTATCAGATTGTTAACCAATGCAATCTGTCTCCATTCTTTTTCCTAAGAATAAACCAATCAATAACTTTATATCTTTCAGCATCTTTGCCTTGTAGGGACAATTGAATCACACTGTTAAAATAATACACAATGTATTCTAATAGTACTAGGTTCAGTATATATAGATAACATGGACAAGTTGATTCATGTCTGAGATCTGTTTGAATATTAGCAGCTCAGGTTGGTAGTTGGGCTGTTGGTTTGATCTCTGAGCTTGGCGAGTTGGCTGCAAATATTTCGTCTCCATTCAGTGGGGGGGACATCTTCAGCGTGCTTTCAATGTCTTTTCATTGTCAGGCATTTTATGTGCTTCAAACAAGATCAAGTTTACAAGACCTTGTAAAATTTTGGTAATTTTAATGCACTAAGCAGTTGGAAGCAAGGACAGCAACACAGAGACATATTTATGTATATTCATGCATGAAAATATTACTTCTTACATACATGATTTTCATTTTCTATTTAAATAAGACTAGAATTAGAATCTGCTAGTTAACCATTATATTTTGATTTGTTCATAAGATAAAATACAGAAATCTACCAAATTCTTGTTAAGGCCTTTTCAGAGTTCACCATCTTGTGGATTACTATCAGGAGTAAATATTTTTTTTACTTGCAGTATCCTATTTTGGGAATGCCTTTTTCAAATATGTTGATATTTTAAGTGGTAAAGTTAACCTTTACAATTGATCTGCTTTTGTTTATTTGATATTGCTTGATGCATATTGATTGTTTTGTTAATTTTTTTTCCTGATATCTGAAGCTGCTGTTGTTTTTAAATTGTGTGATCTTCTAATATTATAAGATTTTATTATTGGCTTGGATGCTTTTGTAGGAAAATGAGTCATACATTCTTAAATGTACAGTATAACATTGCTGTATATTCCTAGAGAAGATTACAGATTTGTTTTTTATACTCTAAGACAGGGCTTTTCAACCTTTTCACCCATTGTACCACTTTTAGGATATGGCAATATCCGAGTACCACCAGTTGCCTAGCAAGGTGTCAAAAACTTGATGACCAAAAAAAAGGAAAAAAGTGATAAAGTACAGGTAGCCCTCGACTTACAACAGTTCACTTAGTGACTGTTCGAAGTTACAATGGCACTGAAAAAAGTGCCCCCCAAGCCACAGTCGAGCAAGACACCTGCCTACCCACTCAGTGGCACTCTTCTTCCTGTCCGAGGTTTTCATTGTTGTGAGCATTTCTGTTGAGGATTGACAGTGGGGGTGGGATGGGGGGTGTTTGGTTTTTATTCCCCCCGTCTGCTGGGTGGTTGCAGCAGATTTTGGTCACTTCACATGACCCTGGGACACTGTGACCGTCATAAATATGAATCAGTTGCCAAGCATCTGAATGTAAATCAGATGGAGATGCTGCAACATTCCAGCTGATCGGCGTTCTTCTGGGCTCAGCAGAAACACCAGGATCAGTGCTGCTTTCCATCTGATTGGTGCTTTTTCAGGGCTCAGCAGAAGCACCAGGATCAGCACCGGGCTCCAGCTGGAGCCTGGCGCTGATCCTGGCGCTTCCACTGAGCCCTGAAAGCCCTGCAGCTCCAGCCATCTCTCGCTCAGGCTTGTGCGGTGCTGCCACTGGTTCAGCTCATTCCCCTCCCCCATTACCACTACCTTTTCTAGGATGGTCGCGTACCATCTACCAGGTGCCAATGTACCACAGGTGGTATCCGTACCACTGGTTGAAAAGCCCTGCTCTAAGATACCCTGAGACCTATACACATAGAGTCAAGAAACTAATTCTAAATATTCAATGTAGTATATCAAAGCTTTCATTGATTTTGTTAATGGCTGTAAATTGGTTAGGTGTACAAGAATCTTTGAATTTCTAGCTTGTGGAGGCATAAATCTCATCTTTCTGTGGAAATGGATTCAAATAAATCATTAGTGTCAAGCAACCACAAGTGGCTATCTTTATAGTTTGTGATTTTTCTATTCTGATGTCTCAGCCAATCAATATATGGAGGCTCCAATTACATGCAAAAAAACATGCACCTAAGTTTTAGCTGCTGGCCTTGGAGGAGCCATTTACTTCCTTGGATTTTTGAGCAGTTGCTGGAGTGAAGTACCAATCTGCTCAGCATCCAGATGCATAAATTGATTGCTTTTTAAACACAATTGGAATTATCACATGGAATTCAGAAAAGCAAAAATCAATGTTTTCCCCCAAGTATCTAAGCCATGTGGTATTTGAAGCCTTGAAAGGTTGTCATTATTTTAGGGTTCTCCCAATTACTGCCATTCATACTTTTCCAATAAGAAAGGAACATACACAAAACATAGGAATGGTAGTAGCAGATAGGAAGAACCATGAGTGGCATCTGACCCTTGAAAAGTTCAAGTAATCGCTGCGTGTCTCTTGTGGTTTCAGCTTCTTCTTCATGCTAATACTGTATGCCATGGAATAATGCCATGCAATTTTGCTGCTGTTCCAAATCAGGCTTCTGAGTTTGTAAGTTGGAGTTATTAGGAATTGTTTCGAGTATAACAGAAGTTCTAGAATTACTGACTAAAATTAGGTTCTTTACACATAATAATCAATTTTATTTATGATTGAATTCCCACATAATTTATATTGTCTGGTATGGGTTTCCCTTTCTTGAATATCATACGGGCCAATTTTGCTCATCATAGTCCTCCGTGCAGCATATTTGCTTACTGGTTTTGATTGGGTAATATGTAGGTGATGTGTTCAGCAAGATGTTGCACTAGATGAGTTATGAGTTGCTTGGGTGATCTAGTTCTGTCTAAAGCACAGAGATGAAATAAGATGAAACTTGCTGTCCGATTGTCAGAAACAAAGATTCCTATTGAAGTTCTGTGTGCCTTGATGTTCTATCCCATCTTTCTTAAGTCAAGGAAACATATGAGGGTTCCTAGGCATTACTCTCTTGGGTACTGGTCTGTTTACACTTAGATTGATAGTGCTTAAGCTATCTTATAGCATCCTCCGCTTTTTTAAATACGATGTAACATGTGATAACACTTGCCACAATGGGAGTATGTTCTTGCTGCTAAACATTGTCTCTCGCAGCAAGAGAGTTAAATGATACTACTTGTCAGAGTTTGTTATCAAGATTTAAAACTGCAAAGATCCTGATCACGGAGGAGACAAAAAGGTAGAGTAATCAAACATACAAAACCATTTTTGAAAAATTAAAATCAAATCTTTGCTCAGTGGAGAAGCTCAGTCTAATAGGAGATTTCACCAGAACTATTCTACCTTCATACTTCTGCATGTAGCTTTCTTCTTTCGGGAGCAAATTAGCTTAGGAGAGTTTTTACAAGATAGGTTTTGCCCCTGTAGAGCTTCCTTTTGAGGACAATAATCTAGCTTTTGGAGAGCAGCCACTATGGGATTTATTGTATTTTAATGTATGGCTGCTATAATTAGGGCAGGTATCCCTCTGTTCTTATAAGATTTAGAGCAGTCTGTGTGATTCACTTGCTCCGCAGCTCTGCCAGAGCTGCTTTCAGTGTGAGGGTGACAGCATCTTCCTCCGGAGTGAGGGAAGGAATGCCATTCCCTGTTTTTCTATGAAGCCTATCCAAGAGGAGAACTATTATGATGATGTCAGAGCAGGCTTCCCGGAGGAATTGTGCTTCATCTCTGCAGCTCTACCTCGTCAATTAATCAACGTTTGCTGGTATGTAGTTCTCCACTTCGAAGCAGGCATCTCTGTCTGATCAACAACTTCTCTCTTTCTGGAACTGCTAAACAAATCCAGCCTTTGAGGATGCAGGCAGGCTTTGCTTTTTGTATGTATTTGGCTCTCTGGAAGAAGGAATACTTTTAACATGATGCTTATTGCTTATGCCTTTGAGTCTATCCCCTGGAAAAGCTGTCTTGGAAGCGAGCATGCTCAGAAAGCTGGCAAATCATTGTCCAGCAACCAAGAGAAAATGCTGGGTGCTCTTCATTTATAATGCAAATTCTGAGGTGCCTTCAGAAGTGTGGCAAACTTAAAATGATGGCGGTGGTGAGAACATCACTGCAGAAAGTTGTGGTATTGCTACATCGCTTGCAGAGAATGGCAGTTTCATCACCACGTTATCAAAAGCTTTGTAAGGTGAGTCAGAACTAAAAAGTAGGACTGCTAATTCCACTACAAGAACACATTGTTTGGGAATTTTGATAGAAATATATTCTTCCAAACAGATCTAATGTCAGTCATTAGAAATGTGTTTTTGTATAGACTTACTTCCAATTATAGAGCTCTATAGCTAGTTTCTTACTTTTCCTTTTTTTAAAGTCATATGTAGGTAGGTATTGTTGGAAGTTCTCTGATGTTCAAAGTTAACTTAAATGTTTAGTCTAGTCTAACCATTCGTTTTTCACAGTTAAGTAGTATGTTGTGGAAGTTAATGCCTTTCTTCAATTTAGAAAGGAGTTTCTGCATTTGCAGATTTACAGCTAAATCTTCATTTATCATAGGATTTTTCTATTAGGAATTTTGCCTTTTTCCTGTTCGAATTTTTTTATTAAAAAGTTACAAATAAGGCATGGCTTCTCCTGCCAAAGAAAACAATGGTGATCCAGAGCTTTTGACAGTAACTTTTACTGCTCTTAACAGAATGTTTATTTTCCTTTTTGGAGATTTAAAATTGCTGCTTCACAAACTCCACTATTGTGGGCTTTGGTTTTGTTGAAGTGGCTTTTGGAACGTGGAAAATTAACTTAGTGATCTTCAACTGTATCATTAAGTTCACTATCTTCAGATTTTAAATTGTGTACTAAAAGTCATGTTTAAACCAGAATTGGAGTGGGAGAGAGCAGGTGAACAAGGGTGCTTCTGGAAGGTTATTGGAAAACTGAAGTAGTCCTTTTTAAAACTAAACAAAAGAAAACTTTGGAGCATTATGGCACCAAACATGAATTAATTATAAATATCAGAGTAGAAAAACATTTGACTGTGTGGGGTAGGACTTGTGAAATTCTTATTTTTGGATTTAATCTTTGCTAGCTTCTTCAGTGTGAAACAATGATTTATTGTGAATAATCATTTTCTATCATTACATATGTATGAACAGAATGGAAATGTATTAGAAGCTTGGATGATAGCCCACTTTATTTTCATTACTTCTGGAACATATGGAGGAAACAGAAAAAAGATTCAGAAGTCATGCAGTAAATCAGACTATTCTATTACAGATGCAACTTTTCAAGAATGGTTGTTTGGCATTTTTGCTTTTTTCAATTACAAAAACAATTGTAATTTGTAATTTGAAACTGCCAACTTTCTTGAGCAAAGATCAGATCTTATTTGCCCAGAAATAGTGTGTAAACATATAGTATAGCTTTGCTAAATCCTACAAATTAAGTAAAAAGTTGTTGCTGTGAACATGTATAAATTTAATATAGTTTTCCTTGTATAAAGACATGACTCTTTCATCCTAAGGTGGAAAGTTAATTCAGAATATTTTATTTTTGGAATGGAATGTTGTGGAAGCTTACAGTGAAATACATCACTTGCTAATGGAATATTTAAAGGTGGTACATGGGAAATGGAATTCCACTTGTGTTTGTCACATAGAAATGTATACAGCATAGAGCATTTAATTGAACATATAAATCTTGTTTGAAATTATTAGTTTCTAAAGGAAAAAGAGCAGTATTTTAAATTGCATAAGGTTGGTTGTTTTCATTTGGCCTTTCAGTATTTTAAGTTGCTTGTAAATCTCACTCTAGTGCCATTGAGTAAATAGGCTGCAATACTCCACCAGGTGTCAGTGTAAGGCAATAATACATAATTATATTCATCACTCAATAGGCTAATAAAATACTCCAAAAGAATGCAGTGTGGATTGCAAATGTAAAAACTATCATCAATGAAGTAATGAACTGAAACTGTCCCTGTGCTCATTTTATTGATATAGATTGTAAAAAAAAATGAAACAAAAAATGAAAACCTGAAATGCTGCCCATGAACATGTGTATCAAAAATGCTCTTTATTATGGTCCTTATTTTCAACTCTGTACTTGAGTGTGTTGCGTATTGTTTTGTACACTAATACTATTTTGGTTGCAGTAGTAAGACTTTTAATGGGTTGGTATGCAAAACAAGAGAGGGTTTGGGATTTAAATTTATTTTAAAATTGTACATTTAAACTATAATGCAGCCTTTAGAAATAAGACTGAAATAAGAAACTGCTTGTAAAATTTGCAATATTAAATATAAAATATTGGAAGTCTAATATAGTTCATAAGTTCATTTAAAAATAAATTTGTAATAGTTCATAAGTATAAAAATTTTAAATTGTCTATTATGTAGTTTAATAGTTGAATAAAATTGATCTGATAAAATATATTTTCTAGATTAGGTCTAATGATATGCTTCTAATAGTGAGCCTGCACAGAAAGTAAGCTGTCATGAGTATGAATTCCTTTCTTCTAAAGAATAGAAAGAACATTTTTACAGACTACTTTGCTCTGTGACATTCCAACCCATTACTTTCCATGCTCTTCTAGAAGATTATTCAATATGTGAGAGAGTTGGATATAATCCTTCATCAGTATTGACATGAAAAAAGTTTCTAGACAATGAAGAAGGGGAACCACATTTCTTTGGTTATGGTATTCCCATCAGCTTTTTTGATATGAGCGTATGAGATCTCTTCAGAGGAGGTATGATGTTCTTCTCCAAATCCTAGCTTGACACTTTCTGAGGCAATCTGACAATTCTGCAAGGACCAAACAGTTCTTGTTTACTTGTTGCAGCCCAGATGATTGGTATGTATAGGCAAGAAACACTGGTTTCCTTCTTATAGCTGACTGTAGAATATTATAAAGCAAAGGGCTTCAGAAATAATCAGAAGCTCTCAGGATAAAAAGGCTAAAAGTATTTACTTCAACAGATGTAGAGGGGTTCCCTTTATAAATCAAAATTCTGCAACTTTTCAAAGTTATTTTGTACCCTGATCTAATTTTAGAACATCACAGAGTATTCTGTGATCCAAAAGTGCAATTGTTATAACACATAACAATATTAGGAAAGGCAGCTACAAAACATACATGGAATGGAAGGAATGGGAAATATAGTTAGAACATAGGTATAAGGGCATATCTGAAATCCTAGTCCAGTATAATAATAATAATAATAATAATAATAATAATAATAATAATAATAATAATAATAATAATAATAATAATAATAATAAGTTGGAAGGGACCTTGGAGGTCATCTAGTCCAACCCCCTGCTCAGGCAGGAAACCCTATACCATTTCAGACAAATGGCTGTATTATATATGCTGATTTATACAAGATATTTTTTTGTTGTGAAGATAAATGGCAAACCAGAACCAAGCTTGCTCTGATCCAGCCAGAGCCTTTCACCATTTTCCCAACATCTCTAATGTAAGCATGTTAAAACAATTTCAGTTCATTGTGGTAAAGTTTCATTACCTTATACTCAATCTATTGTAACTCCCTACATAGATTGGTAGTAGGGCATGTAGCCTAGTTATTTTCCAAATTAGTCTCATGTATATGCTATATTCCTTCTTATAGGATATGTACATGTTCAATTTACAATTTTCACTCATGACTGGTTTTTTTTAATAAGTGGGAATATTGCTATCCAGTTCAGGATCCAATATCTCACTGAAGTCTCCTCCATAATAATAGAATTATGGGAGATATCTAAATAATAAAAACACTCATGAAACATGGTGGGAAAGTCAAAACTATATCCATAAATATTGGTTATAACAATTATATCCGAGACTTTAATTAAAATTATTTTTTAATTTAAAAATCCATTCTTATCTGTTGTAGTATCTTGAACCTAAAAAGATGTTTATGATAAGGATAGGTGCCCTTTTCACCATTCGATGAAACACTCATCGAATGAATCTACCCAACCCAGTCTATAGACCAACAGTATATAGCAACTTCTATTTAAACAAATCCCCAATAAAAAACATTTGTTTTTAAAGACTGGAGATGAATTAAATTTATATATTGATTCCTGTATTATCTTAACCATGTAAACATTGAAGATCATTTAAACACATTCTTTTGGTAGATACACAGACACACCATACACACACACATGTGACTTGAAAAGATATAATTAGGTTAATCAAAGATAGGAAAGCAAGCTATTGGTTGTCCAGTGGTGTAATTTCTGGAAGTAACACAGAAATATTTCCCATTTCCCCAAATCAAGAGAGAGGACCCTGTTTTGAAGATCTGAGTCTCATTTAGATTCTGCATGGTACGGAATCTACTATATAAGTAGTTCAACAGAAGTTCCTTCAGGCAGACATAATAAAAATGACTGAATCTCTGATCTGGCCATTTCCCCCCTAAATAGGGAAAAAGGAAAAAGAGACCTGTTAAAAAACAAGAACTGGTTTTGGCAATTCCATTGTGTGCTTTGTCTTTTGACTGAAAAAGGTATATTCCTCTTCCAGGAATTTTGCTGCACAAAAATCTGATTCTTACATTTTGTAGTTTGCTTCCTCTAGTTTGCATTTTTTAAAGAAATAAAATTCAGGAGTAATATTTGATTTCAGATTGGTTTGGTACAGTTTCAGTGTTTGTCTTCACATAAAGCCTAATTGAAAAAGAAAAGTATGTGTTCCTTGAGAACAAAATGCTATATAATATACTTGTTTGGCTTCTAATGGTTAGCTCAGACTTCGAAATAACAGGTTACCCTTTCATATCACTTGTTAAGCAATCAATACTTTTAATTCTAAACATGCACAAAAATGCAATTTAATTATCTTGAACAAAGGTTAAGCTATAATTCTACTAGTTTCCCTAAATTTTTAATAGTGTTAAAACTGATGAGATAGAAAATTCACTGTCATTTCCCTCAGTAGTTTAAATGTAATACCAGACTAGCACATAGTAATAGACCTCTGAAAACCTGAGAGAGGTTGGCAATTTATAAAATAGTACAGATCCAGAACATCTATATATTCATTGTTTGTCAGGAAATCAGGTAGCTTTCTTTACTGCACCAACACTAGCTAGAACAATGTTTCTTAGCTTTGCTGGCTCGAAAATTCTGGGAGTTGAAGTCCCCACATCTTTCAGTTGCCTAAGTTTAGGAACACTGA